GTTTTGAACGCCGTCTTCCATTCATCGCCTTCATAGATTCAGATCTGGTGATAGCCACTTCTAAGATCAATTTTGGAAAAGATCCTTGAACCGTGAAGCTCATCCAACATATCTTCAAGTATTGGTCTTTGATACCTATACTTGATGGAAATCTTGTTTATAGCTTGGCTATCCCAACACATCCGCCAGTAGAATTCTTCTTAGGCACCAAAATGAAAGTTTGTGGGGGCGCACCAGAAATCACCAATTGAAAGCTATGCAAACAAATCAACCAGCTATGTTGTAGAGAAGATGCTGCATCACTGTCACAGTAACAGATGACGGACAGTGTGCTATAACACTTCTCTGTCACAGGCACACAAAAGCAGATGACGCAGAGGACGTTACAGTGTCTACTGGGCAGAATGCTGTAAATATAAAATGCGTAAAAAATGACACCAGATATGTTTACGCATTTCGGAGAAACTCTCCTAATCTACGGAGCCCACGTCCGTGTAATAGCCCTCCACTAAATCACTAGATGCAAGTTACACCGGTACATAACAATATGATGAGACACACTTCTCCGAATTGTTATGACAAAACTTCTAATCTAGGATTTCTAACCCGAACTCTGTTCAGATCCGCTTCGGCTATCACATCTCCACTGAGATCACGAGGACAAACGTGTTGACAGCCCACTTGTTCAGCTCTATTTCATCTTCTGGATGTCACGATCAGTTTGGCGTTGAAAATCTCCTCCTTCATGTAGATCGCAACTTTCTTCACGCATGGGAAACTCCGGGACGCGACGGGAATGCTCTACATCAGCATATATTCTTTGTTCTCCCTCTCAATCGCTCCACCTAATTCCCAGGGACCTGCTACATTTTTATAGGCCAAACAAAACCCAATCCTAGTAGGAATAGGATAGTGGAAGTTGGCTTGAACTCTACTTCCTTAATCTTGATCCACAAGTAGCCTAAAGAGTTGGGATTCCTTAGCATGTACAGTTGGAGTTATTATCATGTAATCACAATCCCAATAGGTCTCTAATTCAGATTGCAGCTTAAAATCCCGTGCTCAGACCTCTGATCCTGAACAGTGTGTTGCAGCATCGTGCTGTAGCATCTTCTGTGCCAACCTCGAAAATTGCAACAACTCTAAAAGTCTAAATAAAATAAACCTCTCCTAACAAATAGAGGTTTCTACCTAGTAAAACACCTAACAAATATGGGATTCTATTTTACCAAAAGATTAGCCAACACCATGGAACTAACACAAAAGAGCTAGGAAAACACATGGACATAAACTTTCCCTCATGAATCCTTTGGCTAGTAATTCATCAACTTGCCTTTGGATCTCTTTGGTTTCCTCCAGAGTCATTCAGTAAGCGGGTTTGTTGGGTAAGGAAGCCCCCAGAATGAGATCAATCTTATGTTGGATGTCTCGTTTAGGAGAGAGGCCGTGGGGTACATCTTTAGGAAAGACGTGGGAGAATTGTTCAATAATGGGTTTGGCTAACAGGTGAAGAGGGGGTGGAGTTGAGCTGATTTTGGGTTCTCTATTCTCAAAGAGGATTAGTTCTTTTTTAGGTTCATATTCATGAAACTCAGATTGTAATATGGTGGAAATAAGGATGAGAGGTTCTTCTTTGGAGGGGTATGAGGCCGTGGTTGAGGATGGGGTAGGGAATTGAGGGTGACCTTCTTCTTGTTGATTAGGAATGAATATGTGTTAGCATATCCATCATGGAACACTTTTCGATCAAATAGCGAAGGTCATCTCAATAGAATATGGCACGCATCCATCGGAATGATGTCACACCATATCTCATCGAAATAAGTTTTGCCAGTACTCAATGAGACCAAACTTCGAGAGTCCACACGTAACCCTTTGCCATGATTCAACTATTGAATCGTGTATGGTTTAGGGTGTGGTGAGGACATGTCCACCAATGTTTTTGAGGCTACATTGGTGCAACTTCCACTATCCACGATCAAAGAGCACAACTTCTTTTGGATTGTACAACGGGTGTGGAAGATATTTTCCTGTTGTAGTTGATCATCGGGACCAACCATGCTACTCAAGGCCCTTCGGATGACCAAGAGTTCTCCTTCATCGGCTCCAATATGCTCTTCTTCTTCAAGCTCTTCATCAGCCCATGAGGGACTATTTTCTTCTTCTTCATATTCAACAATGGCCATTATCTTCTTGTTAGGACATTCATTGGCATAATGACCTATGCCTTGACAACGGAAACACTTAGGAGCTCGGGTATTTGTTTGGCTTGTTCTGAAGGGG